TTTAACCCTTAAATTCCATTAATCTTAGGCCAAATCAGTGAAATAATGCCATAGGATCAATTATTAGACTCAAAAATCTTACCTACAGACGATATCCCTTGATTGCCTCTTCAAAATCTCCCAAAAAGTTCCAAAACTGACTTGAAATGGTGAAGAACAACTCAAAAATCGCGACGGAATGCTTTTATACCTTCTGGCCCAGGGATTTCGCACCTGCGGTCAATTCCCCGCTCATGCGCAACCGCTTCTGCGGTCATCACTTAAAATTCCAGGTGCTGCATCTGAGACCAAATCCCCGCACTTGCGGTACCTAGCCGCTTCTACGGCTCCAGCTTTCCTTGGCCCTTTCCGCTTCTGCCACTCATTTCCGCATCTGCGGAGGTCGCACCTGTGGCCTCCTAACCGCAGATGCGATTATAACAGCGGTTCCAACACCTTAGCTACCATTTCCAAATTCAATCCTTCCGTCAACCATCCGGAATCACCTCGTGGCCCCCAGGACCTCAACCAAAGGCACAAACAAGTCACATATCACTATTCAAACTTATATCAATCTTCAAAACACCTCAAACAACATCGAATCAACCAAAACACATCGGATTCAAGCCTAGGTTTCCAAAATCTTCTCAATTCCGCTTTTGATCAAAAAATCTACCAAACCACGTTCGAATGACCTGAAATTTTGCACACACATCCCAAATGACACAACGGAACTACTGTAACTCCCGGAATTCCTTTCCAACCCATATATCAAAATCTCACCTATCAACCGGAAAGCGCCAAAATTCCAATTTCGCCAATTCAAGCCTAAATCTACTCCGGACCTCCAAAACACATTACGATCACGCTCCTAAGTCTCAAATCACCTCCCGAAGCTATCCGAACCATCGAAACTCACACCGAGCCCCTTAACACATAAGTCAATATCCGGTTGACTTTTCCAACTTAAGTTTCCTCAAAAGAGACTAAGTGTCTCAAACCTTACCGAAACTTTTTCGAACCCGAGCCAACCAACCCGATCACACATAGAACCGATAAACAAAGCAATAAGAAGCAAAAATGGGGGGAAAATGGAGCGGTAACTCATGAGACGACTGCCCGGGTCGTCACACAAATCGAGGTCTAAATCTCCAATTTATAAAAAATCTCTAATTCTACCCAAACCCCTAATTTTTACCATACAAATCTTTAGATTTTTGGTTGGAAATTCATGAAATGTGATGAGAAATTAAAAGAAAGTGGGTTAGAAACATTTACCAAAGTTTTGGGGAAGAATTGGTCTTGGGAGAATCGCCTCAAGGGTTCTAGGGTTTGAAAAATCTGAAGAATAGGAGAAAATCCTGTTTAACTTTTGTTTTGAACAGCTGCAGAAGTCGCATTTGCGACCTGAGTTTCACAGATATGATGTAATTACCATATTAAACTTGTATCGAGCTTCGGAACCAAAATACGAGCCTGATACTAACGAGATCAAACATTTACTAATTTCTCAAAACCTTTGGAATTTTAGTTTAACAATTTTTATCAAAAATTCATTTCTCGGGCTAAGGACCTCGGAATTCGATTCCGGGTATACGCCCAGGTCCCATATTTATTACGGATCCTCCGGGACCGTTAAAATACGGGTCCCGGTCCGTTTTCTCAAAATGTTGACCGAAGTCAATTAAAATCAACTTTTAAAGGCAAAAATTATTGTTTTCTCTAATTTCCACATAAAGACCTTCCGGAATCGCGCCCGAATTGTGCACGTAAATTGAAAAAAAAATAAAATGAGGTTTTTAAGGCCTCGGAACACGAATTCGACTTCTAAAATAAGAGTTGACCTTTCGGGTCATCACAAGTAGAAGGTTCATTCTCAAAACCAAAACAACAATCAATTGAACATAAAACTTTGCTTGGTGGGAATTAACCAAAATAAAAATGTACTTAGTCTGTATTTTTTTTTAGCTCCAATAAAGCTACAAACTAATGACTATCCTCTTCTGCCTCTATAATGTACCATAGACCTTTTTTTTTTTTAAAACTAAATGTATCCATTAAGATCTGCCACGTGAATAATATGATCATAATATATATTTCGCTATCTTTTATAATTAAGTTTTTGTTGAGTCAAATATACTTATTTAAGTTCATTCATGCTTTATATTATTTTTAAGTGAAACATATTAGTTACCTTATAATTAAAATATTACTTAATAGAGAAATTTTTCGTTGCATTTTATATACCCATCACTTGAAGTTTGTTAGTCAAAACCATATTTTTCTTCTTCCCCTTTAGAGTATATTGTCAGATACATAAAAAAAAATATGTCAAAAAATATTAATATCTTTCAACTTTTTATCTATAAGAGTAGCTACATTATATTCAACAAACTGTCAAGAAAATCTCACCAAAGAACTCCAAAATTCTTACGCATTAACTCAATAGAGGAGTATATGAACTAGCATAGAACAAAATGATCCCATAATAACCATTTAATACCTATCATAGGAACCGATATCATCCTAGTAGTAACCCACATTAAATAATAATAATAATAATATTATTATTATTATTATTATTACTATTATTTTAATATTATTATTATGTCCCTTCATAATCTTAAGATTTTTATTACGTTATGTGATTTTATTCGCCTCTAGTATTGTATTCCTTGTTGCTATTATTTGGTACTACTTATCATTTATCTCTCCCTTTTTCTTTTTCTTTTCTCTTCTTTCTTTCTTCCTTCCTTGCTTTCCTCTTCTTCTTCTCACCCTTCCTGAGCCGAGGGTCTACTGGAAACAGCTTCTCTACCTGCATTAGGTAGGGGTAAGGTCTGCGTACAGACTACCCTCTCCAGACCCCACCTAATAGGATTATATTGGGTTTATTATTATTATTATTATTATTATTATTATTATTATTATTATTATTATTATTATTATTATTATTATTATTATTATTATTATTATTATCTAGCACATGAGACTTGAGAGCCTATCTCTATAGAATACATATGAGAACTTGAGATACTTCACCTTCTTTATTTCTCTTTACCTATAAGTCTATGATGAGATTCTTCTTCAATTAAGCTTATAACACCAACCCTGTTAAACCTGCTAACCTCAATATAATATAGTGATTCAAGAAACAAATTCACAATTTTTGCATCTGATAGAACAGGAGATTAGCTAAATAAAAAAACGCTCACAATACAGAGAAGCAAGAGCCAAGAGGCAAACTCACATATAACTTTCTTAAGAGCAAGATGAAACTTGTCCATAACACCATATTGTGAGCATGTGATTTTTGCCCTATGTGAAATACTCTTACAAAATTAAAGAAAATAGATTTTTTCCAATTATTTACATTTTTATAGGATTTTTGTAGGATTTTATTAATTGTTTGTATTTTGTGCATGTTTAATTTTTATTAAAATCATGAAAATGCCGCAAAAATGTCAAAAACATCATGCATTGCATATTAGACTTTGTGTTCACATTTTAGGATAAAATTAGTTAATAAATTGCGTTATTAAAATGAAAAAAAATCATAAAGTATTCCTCATTTTTATATTTTTAGCTTTTAATTTTAGATTAATAATTTTCTCTTTTTAATTTAGGATCAACTAATTTTTGTAAATGTTATAATTAGATAATTAGCTTAATTTTTGAAAATTAGATTAATTTAGGATTTTAATTAAAGAAAAGAAAAAGAAAACAAAGAAAAAAAAATAAGAAAAGAAATTGGAAAAGAAAAAAGGGTTTAATTTGAAATTGGGCTAATTCTTATATCCAAATCGGTCCATACCCAAGCCCAAAACCCAAATATACCCGGTCCAATGCCCCAGCCCCCAAAATGACCCTGTTTAACCCCGCCTTTCATCTCAGCCGTTGGATTCATTTGATCCAACAGCTTGGAACTGGTTACCCAATAACCTTAAAACTATCTGAAACCCCTCTAGACCTTAGAGACCTATTTCATTTCACCCTTATCTCTCTCTGATGCAAACCCTAGCCGCCCCCTCATTCCCCCGCCAGCTCCGCGTCGCTCAGCCGCCCGGAAATCGCCTTACGGCAGCGAAGCTTCACCAAATCACCCCAAATTCACCCTCTACAATCCTTAGTCTCCCCTCTATACCATCCCACCATCAGCTTCCCCAAAAACACCACCCAATTCCGTCGATTTCATATCTGAAATCTGACCCTAAAAACTCTAAATCACCCAAATGGCCCTAAACTCACACCATAGGACCCTCAACCTTCCCTCACCACTACCCTACCCTTGATTCCCCAAAAATTCCCACCAAAATCCTCGAATTTGAAATCTATGAAAAACCAGAAAAACCTAGTTCCATTTGTCCATCCTTTTCGAGTTTTCTTTGGATTGCTTCCGGATTCGATGTGGTTGAAAGACCATGTTGGTCAATCATTCTCAACAAGAACGGTTGGTTAGCATATTTTTTTAGTCGCATCAAAGGACTGTTGAACTGCCAGACTCCTTTTGGTATTTTCCTTAACTCTTTTCCTTGTTTCTTTATTTTGTTAGCTTAATTTATGCATGTGAATAATTATAAGTAATCTAGTTTATTTCTGTACAAATTATTTAGTTCACAGCATGTCTAATTGTTGGAAAATTATTTTTAGTTGTATAGTTTAGTTAATTCAATCACCGTGGAGGTTAATTAGGTTAATTATTAGGTTTCATTACATTACCATATTTGTTTCTTTGTTTGTTACTGTGTTCTGCTATCTGTGTTCGTTTAAATTCAGTTTTTGTTTAGATAAGCATTTTCATTTATTGATTAGTTTAACTTTTAGGTTTAAATTGCATCATCGTGCTTCAGTTGTCATTTCAATTTGAATTTTTGGACCCCTTTTGATTTTGTCCATGATTTGTAAATCACTAGAACTTGTAGGGGCTTAATTAAACTAAAAGGGAAACTTAGGAGGATTTCAGAACTTTAGAAAAACAAATATCTAGGAAAAGGAAGGTTCTAGAAGTATACAGCTGTCCAGAATTATTTAAAAGATGCTGAAAAATGGACAACTGTCCATTATTCTCTGTCAAAAATGATGTACTATCTAAGGAATTTAGGGTAGAATACTCCTTAGATGTTATTTTTGGATATACACTATAAAAAGAAAGTCATTCCCTCATTTTCTCACAGACTCATCAGATTTCAAAAATACACTCTAAAAATTCAGCTGTTGTTTCTATAGAAGCGGACTCTCTTTTCCTCTAATTTTAGCAAAAAACTTAAAGAACTTCTTTGGGATTTTCTGGTTTTCATAAGTCAAAAAATGGATTGAATCCGAAGCTTTCTTTTCTGGGATTTACTGCTGCTGCTCATGCTGTGTTGTTTAAGTTTGGGTTGAGCTCCAAATTTCATTATTTTGATCTGTACTTGGTCTTCTTTCTACTGTTCTTCTTGTTTCTGGCCATTAGGTATGTAGAAACTCACCTGTAGCTTCATGTTGCATTTATGAATGAAATTTGGGACTATCTAGTAGTGTTTTGTGTTTGATTTCCTTACTATGTTCCACTGAATTTGTTCCATAAAAATTTTTGTTCTTTTTATCAGCATTCTCTTATGCTTCTTATGTAAACTAGTGGCCCTTGACTTAGTTAAGTTCATATGTGTTTCTCCTATTTATTTAGTTTTGTTTTTTAAAATAAAAATAAAGAACAATCAGAATACTTTTGCGCTACTGTCTGGTCATCTGAATTAGTGTGGTTATCTTGAGAGTTGTCAAACTATCTCATGTTTAGCATGATTATGTTGTGATTTGGGTCTGTTTTGTCAAAGTTGATATTTCATGTGTAAACTAACGGATTGTAAGCTGGAAAGTGATCAAGATTGTTTAATTCTAAATATGAATGTAGATAGCTATTAACAACAGTTGGAGCATGTGGTGTCAACTGTTAAATTTTGTATAGTTTCAGCCCTGTTTGAACCTTGCAGAATCAATATTAATTCAAAAAGGGTTTCCTTATAAAGTGGTTTTGCTGAAGTATATGGATTTTTGTTGAGTTTGAGAAGGCTTAATGCTGGTTACATGGCTATGTCTTGCTGATCTGACCACCAGTCGGATCAGATTGGTGAAGCTAAGTCTAAAAGGTGGATTTGGAGTCATCCATGGAAGGGGTGTAACACAAGATTGGTTATGTTTTTTTTAGTTTAATTAGCCTTATGAACAATCTATGTAAATATTTAAGGATTCATGTCTATTATCCTTCTTGATGATTGTATTGTGATTCACCAGATTTGCAAGTATTAGAAATGTAATTAATTTGTCTTATCTTAGATCAGATAAATAGTTCAGCTATTCATCTTCTCTATTTTTAGCATTTGTTTTATCTGAAAACTTGAATGGATCAATGCAGATTTTTGTTTAGTATTGCATTGTTCCAATTATGACTTAATGCATTGGGCTTCACTGCGAGCCCACTTGCAGACGCGTTTTAGACTCTTTGGAGGCCGATAGCTACTACGTTACAATGATGCTATCATGAGATGAATTCTTATTTTAAACTAAATAACTGGAAGCAGCCCGTTTCTTAATATGATCCAATTGAAATTTTTTTTAGTGTTCAATATTCTGACAGTCCATATAAGTTGGATTCGAGATTCACTTTGTCTAATGTATTTCCATTTCAAAATAACTCTGTAGCTATGGATCTCCTTATGCTTGCCTGCAAACCTTTTTTTTTTTTAAAATGATCATATGAACACCTGTAGTTTGTTTTAGGCACGTAATTAAATTATCACGACTATGGGTACGGTTCCCGTGGCGTAGTTGTGATACCTAATTTCAAATTAGCTTTAAATATGAACATCCATAGTTTGTTTAGTTGAGTAAAACCTTTTGAAATAAATTGAGGCATGCCATCCACAAATGAATTCCATAATCTATGGCCCTCACATTAATACAAAACTAGTATGGAAAAGACTTGGAACATTCATAACTAGTGTAGAAAACACTTTGAACATTCGTAGTTTGTTTTAGGCGCATTTATAATAAAATTACCATAGCTACGGGTACGGTTCCAGTGACGTAGTTGTGATACATAATCTCCAAATTCGGGGGTATATTTATGTGATCCAGCCACAACTTCTAATAACTTTAATAAATTAAACATGTTGTAGATCGTGAGTACGGTTCCCGTGATATGATTCGCAATGTATATCAAACAAACAAGTGTACGACAATCGTAACTTGTTCCAGAATAATTTTATAAAATAATTAAAAGCGGTTTAAAGTTTAAAAATGCACACTAGGTTTAAAACATGTAGTAAATCAGATAACTAGGCCAATTTTAATATTTTAAGCGACCGTGCTCGAACCACAGAATTCGGGAATGTCTAACACCTTCTCCCGGGTTAACTGAATTCCTTATCTAGAATTTCTGGTTTCGCAGACTTTTAAATAAAGTAGATTTTCTTCGATTTGGGATTTAAAATAAACTAGTGACTTGGGACACCAAATAAATATATCCCAAGTGGTGACTCTAAAAATTAAATAAAATAATCTCATTTCGAATAATGTCACTTTAATTGGAAAAACTCTCTTGTATCCCCTCCAGATGGTAAAAAGGAGGTGTAACACACATCATATAAATTTTTTTTTGTATGAAACTACAAAATCTACTCTCCTTTTTCTTTTTGATCTTTACATGCAATGCTTCATAAGCTAAAAATAGAGTAAAATACAACTGTTATATTCATGAATTATGATATGAGGACAAACTTTATGCATATTTGTCAACTTTATGCATATTTGTCCACCATATTTGACCTTCTGAAGGTACCTACTAATAGAATAAGATCATTAAAATTAGAGTGTTAGTAACTAGCTATGCGAAAAATTTTAAAATTTAAACGATCACTGCGATTTTTTTTTTTTTTTTTGCCCAATCACTCGAAATAAATTTGAACAATCGCTATTCATTCAGCCTATGTTAGTAACTCTTCTTATAAGATGCACATCGTATTAATACCCTAATGAGGCGTTTATAACTTTACAACAACTCCTTATTGCNCCCTTCCTCCCCCCTCGCCATCCCCAGCCACAAAAAAAACAGTATTTGACGCAAGACTCACGATATTGTTTTAGTCTCAACTTTCACATTGTAGTGATTAACTATAGTATGTAGTAAAATGATCAAAGAAAATTATAATTCCATCAACTTCGTATTTTATATTATACCAATAGCAACTTAATTGTCTCATACTATCCAGCAAAAATATAAATCTCGCACAAACTACTATGTAAATACAAAATGATCTTAATAGAATGAACTTCAGACTTCAACAAAAAAATAAAAATAAAATCAAACATGTACATCACAACAGAAGCATTCTTATACAATATATATATCCAAAACAATACGAATTACTTCAACAACTCCAGCGACTCCAAGGAGATATAACTCTTTCATACAGGCATCTGCTATGTAATAACTACTTTTGTATATTCTTAACTTCCTATTTCTCCCCTGTATGTGTGTGTAAGTGTTTGTATGTATGAGACATAACTAAGAAAGATTGTAGTTTTTTCATGTTTCTCCTTTTAGTCATAACTAGTATACGGTACTTGTGCGATGTGCGGATAATATTTATTATTATTACGACCTTTTCCCGGACCCCACACATAGCAGGAGCTTAATGCATCGGGCTGCCTTTTTTTTGTCACGCTAAATTCTACTTGCAATAAATAATAGTCTAAAAAAGTGGGCCAAGAAAGGAAATTTACCTAATTGCTGAAATAGATCTAGAGACGGAAAAGTGGAAGAGTGCTGCGATAGCTTATATCATTGGGAAGTACCAGGTTACAACACTATGAAGAGATACATTAGGATGAATTGGGCAAATGTTGCTGAACATGAATTATATCTACATGTGGAGGGCTACTACATCATTAAGTTTCAAAATGAAGCACATATGAAGGAAATCTATTATTCTGGGTCATACACGATAAACAATAGACCTATCATCCTAAAGCCTTGAATACCAGATTTTGATTTCAATGAGGAGTTTCCTACAGAAATTCCTTGTGGGTTCAATTCCCTAAGCTGCCTATGAACTATTGGGGTCATGATTCGTTAAGTAGAATGGCTAGTGCAATTGGGACTCCTATCTATGCAGATGAGTGTACTGCAAAGAAAACTAGAGTGTCATTTGTGATGATGCTGATAGAAGTAAACATCACTAAAGAGTTGCCTCTAGAGTTAGTGGTTATGGATCCTAATGGCAGGAAATTCACACAGCTAGACAGGTATGACTGGAAACCTGAGTACTACCAGAAATGTCTAGTGATGGGGCACAAATGTGGCATAGAGCAATGGCCAAACAATCAGCAAGAGAAACAACCTATAAGGAGAAGAGAGCCTAAGAAGGTCACAATGGAATGGAGATTCAAAGGCCCATTAAATGGAGGTGACAATCAGACTAATCAACCAGGAGACCAAGCTCAGCAACAGACACAAGACACTCCCCCTCAACAGAGCAATGAAGGTTCACAGGGCAAAGGAAATGTGCAACCAACCGTTGACACTCATGCACAAGAGCAACAGGGCAATTTTCAAACACCTATACAATAACACAAGGATAATTTGGAGGCAACAGTAGATAAAGGCAAAGCTGCAGGTACTATGCTTGAACTGAATCTGGTAAATTTCTCAACACTATCAGCTATAACAGTGAAAAATGCCTTCGAGCCATTACAAAAGGAAAATTGGAATGCTAACACCTTACCACCTGATAAGGGTAGGGGTCACATGACTTGATAATGAAGTGGCTCTTCTGAAACATCAGAGGTGTAAATAAGAAATACAAACAAAAAGAGTTTAAAAAGTATATTAGTAGTCAAAAAATAAAGTTAGCAGCTATAGTTGAAACTAGAGTCAAAGAACATAATGCAAGCAAGGTAATGCTAAAAGTAATCCCAGGGTGGAACTATTTTACAAACTATCAACGTGCTCCAAATGGAAGAGTGTGGCTTATATGGGATCCTCAATGGTACACTGTTACATTGCTAAGAACTGAAGTTCAACTTAAACATTGTTTGGTACAGGATAGGCTGGGTGTGGTGGATTGTGAAGTTACAACTATCTATGGATATAATACTCTAGAATAAAGGAAATAATTGTGGGAAGCTATAAAGGAGCTAGCAGTAAGAATTACCAAGCTATGGCTCTTATGTGGTGATTTCACTGTTATATTGTATTCTAATGACAGACTTATGGGTAATCCTATTACCTATACAAAAGTTCAGGATTTTGTTGATTATATGACTTCACTATCTCTGAATAAACTATCGTGGATAGGGAAGTATTACACATAGTCAAACGAACAATATGGTGCGGATAGGGTATGCAACAGGCTTGACAGAGCACTTGGTAACTTTGAATGGATGATGCAGTGGGGTCACGTGACTACTGAATATGGCCTGCCATTTATTTCTGATCATAACCCCATGATACTCACCCTACACTTAGCTCCAAAACATAGCAAAGTATCATTTAGATTCTTTAATGTTTGGGATGAGCATGATAGTTTTATTGATATTGTGGAAAGGATTTGGGGACAATCATATGCTACTTACAAGATGAAGAATGTTTGGATGAACGTGAAGGCTCTAAGACCAATATTCAGAGCACTAAATAATGAACAATTTAGAACTATTAGCTTGAAGATTGAGCATGCTAGAGTAGAATTAGAAAACATACAAGGAAAGGTCAATACATCATGTAATGATTCGCTGCTTGAAGAAGAAAGGAGCCTACTACGGAATTTGAAAAAATGGTCTCTCATAGAAGAGAGTGTATTGAAGTAGATGTCAAGAGCAAAATGGATTAGGCTTGGTGATTCAAACATCAAGTATTTTGCAACAGTCATGAAGGAAAGAAGTCAGAAGAAACAACTAAATAAAATTATGTCCCTCGCAGGTGATAAACTTACCCACCCTAACAGCATAAAGCAGGAAGTCATGGAATTTTACAAGTCATTAATAGGATCAGCAACCCATTCTCTCCCTGCTATAAACAGACTGGTTATGAGGAATGGACTAGTAATGTCACAACATCAAAATATTATTCTTTGTGCTAAGGTTACTGGCAAAGAAATCTATGCTGGACTTTGTGTTATTGATAGTGATAAAGCACCAGGAATAGATGGATACAATGCTTATTTCTTTAAGAAGGCATGGGTGGTCATTCAAGGTGAAGTTACTCAAGCTTTCAAAGATTTCTTTACTATTGGGAAATTGTATAAAGCTGTTAACTGTACTACTCTCACACTGGTGCCTAAAATACCCAGTCCAAATACAGTCAAAGA